TATATCAGACAACTGTTGTCCTCTCTGAAAACAGACATCAGAGAAAACACATATGTAGTGGGAGACTTCAACACACCACTATCAACAATGGATAGGTCAACAAGACAAAAAATAAGTAAAGAAACCAAAGCTCTAAATAAGGACCTAGAGCAATTGGGCTTAACAGACATCTATAGAACACTAAACCCCAAAAAAACGGAGTACACATTTTTCTCAAGCGCACACGGATCATTCTCCAGGATCGATCACATACTGGGGCACAAGACAAACATCAACAGATACACCAAGATTGAAATCATATCAACCATCTTTTCTGACCATGAAGGCATCAAACTAGAAATAAACCATAAAAAGAAGGCAAGGAACTTTCCTACCTCATGGAGATTAAAAACCACACTACTGGAAGACCACTGGACTAATGAGGAGATGAAAGAAGAAACTAAAAAATTTTTTGAATTGAACGACAAGGAGGACACCAATATCCTAAATGTATGGGATGCAGCAAAAGCAGTAATAAGAGGAAAATATATAGCAATAGAAGCTCACATCAAGAAACAAGAAAGAACTCAAAGAAACAACCTAATCTCGAAGCTCAAAGATCTAGAAAAAGAACAACAAAAAAACCCCAAAACCAGTAGAAGAAAAGAAATAATAAAAACCAAAGCAGAAATAAATGAAATTGAAACTAAAAAAACAATTCAAAAGATCAATGAAACCAAGAGCTGGTTCTTTGAAAAAATCAATAAAATAGACAAACCCCTAGCCAGGCTCACAAAGGAAAAAAGGGAGAAAGCACAAATAAACAGGATCATCAATGAAAGAGGAGAAATCACAACGGACACAGCAGAAATCAAAAGAATAATCAGTAACTACTATGAACAGTTATATGGAAACAAGTTTAACAATCTAGAGGAGATGGACAAATTCCTACAACTCTACAATCACCCAAAGCTAGATAAAGAAGAAATAGAACACCTAAACAGACCAATTACAAGCAGCGAAATTGAAATGGTAATTAAAAACCTCCCCAAAAACAAAAGCCCAGGACCTGATGGATTTACAAATGAATTCTACCAAACATTCAGAGACGAATTAGTGCCTATCCTTCACAAACTCTTCCAAAAAATTGAGAAGGAAGGGACAATACCAAACACGTTCTATGAAGCCAACATTACACTAATACCAAAACCGAACAAGGACAACACAAAAAAGGAAAACTACAGGCCAATCTCCCTAATGAACACTGATGCAAAAATCCTCAATAAAATTTTAGCCATCAGAATCCAACAATGTATCCATAAGATAATTCACCACGACCAAGTAGGATTCATTCCAGGGGCACAAGGATGGTTTAACATCCGAAAATCAATCAACGTTATCCATCACATCAACAAAAAGAAATATAAAAACCATATGATAATATCAATAGATGCTGAGAAAGCTTTCGACAAAGTGCAACACCCATTCATGATAAAAGCCCTTGAAATTCTTGGGATACAAGGAACATACCTCAACATCATAAAGGCCATCTATGACAAGCCAACAGCCAGTATCATTCTCAATGGTGAAAAGCTGAAAGCAATTCCATTAAGATCTGGAACAAGACAAGGATGTCCACTCTCACCACTGCTTTTCAATATAATACTGGAAGTCCTAGCCAGGGCAATAAGACAAGAGAAAGACATCCAAGGAATCCAAATAGGAAAAGAAGAAGTCAAACTATCACTATTTGCAGACGATATGATATTATACATAGAGAACCCCAAAAACTCCACAGAAAAGCTAATTCAACTCATCAATCAGTTCAGTAAAGTGGCAGGATACAAAATCAACACGCAAAAGTCAGTAGCCTTCCTATACACAAACAATAAATCTGAAGAAGAAGAAATCAAAAAAACCATCCCTTTCGTTATTGAAACAAAAAAAATCAAATATTTGGGAATAAATCTAACAAAAGAGGTAAAGGACCTATACAAAGAAAACTATAAAACACTGTTAAAAGAAATAGAATAAGACACAAAGAAATGGAGAGATATCCCCTGCTCATGGATTGGAAGAATAAACATTATTAAAATGGCCATCCTTCCAAAAGCAATATACAGATTCAATGCTATTCCAATCAAAATTTCAATGTCATTCTTCAAAGAAATAGAACAATTATTGATGAAATTCATATGGAATCACAAAAAACCCCGAATAGCCAAAGCTCTCCTGAAAAAAAAAGAAGGGAATGGAGGCATCACACTCCCAGACTTCAAACTATACTACAAAGCCATAATCATCAAAACTGCATGGTATTGGAACAAGAACAGACATACAGACCAATGGAATCGAATAGAAAATCCAGAAATAAACCCACAGATTTATGGTCAACTAATCTTTGACAAAGGAGCAAAGACTATGCATTGGAGCAAAGAAAGTTTGTTCAATAAATGGTGCTGGGAAAACTGGGTCGCTACATGCAAAAGAATGAAGCTTGACCACTACCTCACACCATACACAAAAATCAACTCAAAATGGATTAAAGAATTAGACATAATACCTGAAACCATAAAATATATAGAAGGAAATATAGGCGAAACACTACGTGATTTGCACATCAAAGACATCTTTACAGACACATCACCCAAAGCAGTGATAGTGAAGGCAAAGATAAACAGCTGGGACTACATCAAATTAAAGAGCTTCTGCACAGCAAAAGAGACAATAACAAAAACAAAGAGAAACCCCACCAACTGGGAGAACATTTTTGCACCCAACACTAATGATAAAGGACTGATGACAAAAATCTGCAAAGAGCTGATGAGACTCAACAACAACAAAGAAAATAATCCAGTCAAAAAATGGGCAGAAGAGCTAAAAAGAAACTTCTCTGAAGAGGAAATGCAAATGGCCAACAGGCATATGAAAAAATGTTCAACATCACTTGTCATCAGGGAAATGCAAATCAAAACTACCATGAGATACCATCTTACACCAGTGAGAATGGCACATATTAAAAAAACTAGCAACAACAAATGTTGGCGAGGGTGTGGAGAAAAAGGAACTCTTCTGCACTGTTGGTGGGAGTGCAAACTGGTCCAACCACTGTGGAAAGCTGTGTGGAGATTTCTGGACCTACTAAACATAGAGCTTCTATATGATCCAGCAATTCCACTCCTAGGTATTTACCCAAAGGACACAGAAACATCAATTCCAAAGAACACCTGCACCCCTATGTTTATAGCAGCACTGTTTACAATAGCTAAGCTTTGGAAACAACCCAAATGCCCAAAAATAAATGACTGGATCAAGAAGATGTGGTACATATATACCATGGAATATATTACTCAGCATTCAAAAAAGATAAACACATGCAATTTGCAGCAACATGGATGGCGCTGGAAGGGATCATGCTCAGCGAAATAAGCCAAAAAGAAAAAGAAAAATACCGGATGGTCTCACTCATAGCAGGAATCTAGAAAACTTAAATAAGGGACCAGGAAAATGAATAACTATAAGAAAGTGAAAATCAAAATCAACAAAAAACTATGAACCAGAGACACTTTTAGGGGGGCAGGGGCGGGAGGGGAGGGATTGGGGTCAGAATGGGGGCGCTGCAATTGTATGGGGAATATAACAATAAAATTTATTATCTAATAAAAAAAAAAAGAAATTATTTTCCTGTATTTTCTTACATTACTCTTTTCTCCTAATTGTAAGATTTCATTGATGATACGAGGTGACTTTCTCTGCATTTATATTTCTTTATAGGGCCTTCCTGGTGGCACAAGGGGTTAAGCACCACACCTCTGCAGCATGGGTTCGATCCCTGGCCAAGGAGCAAACCACATGGCACAGCAGACCTCTCCTGACTCGCCTGCTGCTCCCCTCAGCAGTGTACTTCGGTCAATCTGCCTGTACTGTTCCCCACTCTGTCCTCTCACTCCCCGCATCTCTGGCCTGTGCCCCAGCTCTTGTATGCATAAATAAATAAATCTTTTAAAAATATATTTCTGTATATTCCTTGGAGCAGGAATTGGAATTTCTTTTATAGACCTGGTGCTATTATGCTGAGTTGATAATAATAGTAGTGACCATCTGGATCTGCATAATGCAGCCATTCCAAGATGTACCTCCCAGAAAGATATACCAAGTAGGAAGGTGTGTTATTATTTCATATTATCATTGGATAAAATAAAATTGAATTTTTTTATAAAGGTAAAATTAAAATTCCTTGTTTTTGAATGAAACTAAGAAACAAAAATAAATTTTTCATCAGTTATTTGTGTTCTGTGCTATGTCATTTATATTGCATTATATGCACTTAGTTCATATATATGAGAGAGTTTATTCTCACCAAGTATTTGTTAAATGAACTAAGATTTAAAAAAATATTTTGGAATGGATGAAGTCACTCACCTATAATATATAGAGATGGCTGGTTGGGATGGGATAGGGGTTACGTAGGGGTTATGAATTCATCTGTGTGATCAGATGTTATGTTAAAGTGGTAGAGTTTACTCCACTTTTTATTTTTTAATTTTTATTATTTTTTTAAAGATTTATTTATTTATGCATATAAGAGCTGGGGTACAGGCCAGAGATGCGGGGGGTGAGAGGACTCACCAGAGACAGAGTGGGGAACAAAACAGGCAGACTGACTGAAATACACTGCTGAAGGGAGCAGTGGGCGAGACAGGAAAGGTCTGCTGTGCCATATAGGTTTCTCCCTGGCCGGCCAGGGATTGAACTTGTGCTGGAGAGGCTGTGGACTGCTTCATAGTGTGGTGCTTAAACCCCTGCACCACCAGGGAGGCCCAACACCACTTTTTATTACAATAATTAATTATAACATTTCTTTTAAAAAGAAATTGCTCTTGATCTTTTATTTATATTAAATCTTTTGATTTTTATGTATTCTTAAGATGAAGGCCCACTAAGATGTATTAATCTATTGCCTCTTAAAAAATTACCTCAAAACTCAGAGTCTTACAACAATAAGCAAGTATTACCTCATAACTTCTATGGGTCAGGAATTTAGAAGCAGCTTGACGGGATATTCTGGCTCAGGGTCTCTTGAGGTTATAGTCAAGATATTGGTTAGAGTTGTTGTTATATAGGCATTTAAAGGCTTCAATGAGTGTGGAGGATCCACTTCTGTGGTGGTTCACTCACTTGCTTGACAAGTTGGTGTTGCTGTTGGCAGGAGGCCAATTTTCAAATAAGCCTTTCCATGGGCTGCTTGAATGTCCTCTTAACATGGAGTGTGGCTTCCCCTGGACTGAGAGTTGAATAGAGACCAAGATCAAAACCACAATATTTTTAATGACTTAACCTCAAAAGTCTTCCACCATCATTTCTGCAATATCCTATTGGTTACAGAGGTCAGCTCTATTTAATGTGGAAAGGAAGTAATGTGGAAAGGAAGTACACAAAGCCTTTAATACCCAAAGGCAAGTATTACTGAGGATCATCCTAAAGACTGGCTGCCACTTAAGGTAACATTCAATCCTGTACATTATCCCTTGTCCAACCTTGCCTGAGATCCTGGCCCATTCATCTCTGCTCTCCTAATGTTCTAGTTCCTCTGAACTTTCAAAGAATGATCAGTAGACCCTCTCTTCTGGGCATTAAGTCATGCAGCATATTGTATTATTTACTGCTGAGAGTGGCAATAATTCTTCTGTTGTGGCCTTCATTAAACACTACAAGGCTAAAAGTATAGATGGTGCCCCAAAGTTCTTCAATAACAACATTTTAGGGGGCATTTCTTTAGATGTATTTTAAAGATTTATTTTTATTTATTTTTATTTTTTATTTTTTTTTTTTTAACTTTTTTTTTTTTTTTTATATAGAGGCATGTTTTCTTTCTTTCTTTCTTTATTTGTTTTGTTTTTGTTTATACATGCACTGGGTACAGTCAGAAGCGCGGGAGGGTGAGAGAATTCACCAGAGCCAGAGCGGAGAACAGAGCAGGCAGAAGGACCGAAGTACACTGCTGAGGGGAGCAGCGGGCGGCAGGAGAGGTCTGCGCGCCATGTGGGACCCTCCTCCGGTGGCCGGGGAGCAGCCGGGGATCGAACCGGCGCCGCAGAGGCCGCGGGCAGCTTTGCAACCCAGCGCTCAACCGCTGCGCCACCGGGGAGGCCCTATTTTTATTTATTTTTATTTATTTAAGAATTGGGGTATAGGCCAAAGGTGTCGGGAATGAGAGGATTCACCAGAGACAGAGTAGGGAGCAGAACAGGAGTATCTACTGAAATATACTTCTGAAGAGAGCAGTGGGAGAGATGGAGGGGTCTTCTTCACCATGTGGTTTAGCTCCCTGGCTGGGATTGAGCTCAGGCCTTAGTGGTGATAGGATGACAGGCTGAGACTTAATCCCTACACCACCAGGGAGACCCTAGATATATTTTAGATATCATGTGAGAGTTTCAGAATTCTAAACTTTCATAGGAATTTTCCTTGTCATCTTACAGGACAGATGTTTTCACAATTATCAATATTCAGTTATTTGTAACTTTTAAGTCCCATCAGGATCTGCCTCCTAGTACTCTTTAAACTACTGAAACTTAACATGTAATTTAATAATGAACAAAACCAAGTTAATTCTCATTTACAGATGACATGTGAACAGTTAGCAGGCATTACAACATCTACTTTTAAGTTATTTAAAGGTGTTTTAAGTCATTTACTTTTTTAAAAAAAAAGATTTATTTATGTATACAAGAGCTGGGGCACAGGCTAGAGACGCAGGGGGTAAGAGGACTCACCAGAGACAGAGTGGGGAACAGAACAGGCAGACTGACTGAAATACACTGCTGAGGGGAGCAGTGGGCAAGACAGGAGAGGTCTGCTGCTCCATGTGGGTTGCTCCCTGGTGGGCCAAGGATCAAACTCATGCTATAGAGGCTTCAGATTGTTCAAAGTGAGGTGATTAACCCCTTGGGCCACCAGGGAGGCCCTAAGTCATTTACTTTTAAGTCATTTAAAGGATCACTGATATAAAGGAGGTGCATAACTAAAACAAAGAGACACCCTATTAAATGGGAGAAAATATTTGCACAACATACATCCAACAAGGGGCTGATCTTGTATCTACAAAGAACTCATACAATTCAGCAAAAAGAAAACAAATAAGTCAATAAAAACCGGGTATTAGAGTTAAATAGGCACCTTTCGAAAGAAGACGTAGAGATGGCCAAGGGCACATGAAAAAATGCCCATTATTACTAATAATCAGGCAAATGCAAATAAAACCACAATGAGATACCACCTCACACCTGTGAGAATGGCACATATCAAAAAGACCTCCCTGAAATAGGGCCTCCCTGGTGGTGCAAGGGGTTGAGATGCAACCTATGCAGCTATACACAGACACTGCACCATGAGTTCAATCCCGGCCAGGAAGCTACCCACATGGTACAGCAGACCTCTCCTGATTCACCCACTGCTCCCCTCAGCAGTGTATTTCAGTCAGTTTGCCTGCTTCTGTTCCCCACTCTGTCTCTGGTGAATGCTCTCATCCCCACCGCTCTGGCCTATACCCCAGTTCTTGTGTGCATAAATAAATAAATCTTTAAAAAAAAAAGAAAAGAAAAATGGAGGGCCTCCCCAGTGGTGCAGCGGGTTGAGTGCTGCGCTGTGAAGCTGTCCGCAGCCTCTGCAGTGAGGGTTCAATTTCTGGCTGGCCAGGGAGAAACCCGCATGGCACGTCAGACCTCTTCTACCTCACCTGCTGCTCCCCTCAGCAGCGTCTTTGGTCCATCTGCCTGTTCTGCTCCCCGCTGTCTCTGGTGAATTCTCTCACCCTCCCGCACTTCTTACCTGTACTCCAGTTCTTGTATAAATAAATCAATCTTTAAAAAAAAAAAAAAGGAGCTGGAAATGCTTCTCTATCATCCCTCAAAATATTTGTCCTTGCTGATTGAAGTTGACTCTTAATAGCTTATGTGGATGAATACAAATATGCCTCACTGCCCTATGATTTTGTCTTTTTAAAGTTTGTTTCCTTGGGCCTTCCTGGTGGCACAAGGGGTTAGTCTCAGCACTATGAAGCTATTGGTAACCACTGCAGCATGAGTTCGCTCTCCGGCCAGGGAGCTAACCCACATGGCACAGCAGACTTCTCCTGTCTTGCCTGCTGCTCCCCTCAGCAGTGTATTTCAATAGCTCCACCTGTTCTGCTCCCCACTCTGTTTCTGGTGATCCTCTTACCCCCCACACCTCTGGCCTACACCCCAGCTCTTGTATATATAAATAAATAAAATAAATCTTAAAAAAAAGTTTATTTCCTTTATTTTGTTACATTCCACCCTACCTCAAATTCTTACTCACAGTCATATAGTTTGAGCAACATTTTCTCTGTAACCTCTCTCAAGTAGAATTATTCATTCCTGCCTTTTGCTCTGATTCCCCCTTAAATAGAAATCAATATTGTATTTATCATACTTTATTTTAATTATGTGTTTATGTGTTTGTTTCCTCCACTAGACATGAGATCTTTGGTACCAAGTCGATATATCTTTACATTTCCATTATCTGGCATAATACTCAATACATAGCTATAATATGCTGTATGAGCAAATTAATGTATGGGTGGTAAATACACATATAAGATATTACTGCATAAATTTAAAGGGTGTTTATTATATTTCAGGCATTGTCATAAGCACTTCTGTTAAGCCATTTAATCCTCCCCACTACCCTATGAATTAGAAATGAATAAATATGAAATCTGAATTCAAGTTAAATCAAAGGAGCAAGTCATTTTCTGTCTTCATGGTTTAAGAAGAACTCTTTAAAATCAGAAATAATTGTCATGTTTCTATTAAATAAGAAAGGTAATTTAGTAAAGATACATAAAAGATAAAGGAGGAGAGCACTACCTCAGGGTCCTTAACATCACAACTAAATGCTATTGCTCAATTGGATGATTGTGCTTCTGCTTACTGAAGCCCTTCCTGGGAGAAGCAGAATCTTGTGTCATCATTTTTAGCCTGAATCATAATAATTTCTTCCTGCCATAGAAATTTATTGTATTGATTTATACAAACACTTGTCAACAGAGACAAAGCCTATATTCATATAAAATGATAATGCTTAAATTTTGCCTAGACATAATCTTTAGTGTCCTGTGATACTCTCCATAATCTACAACCCCAAAATTCCCTCCATCTTCAATCTCTTTCCCCGGATATCTTAATGAGTCACTTAAATAAAGAGTGCTTAGGTATCACTATCTGAGGTAGAGCTATGGGAAAGAACTTCAGGGAGGGACTGACATGATCACGTGCAGAAAAGCACCGGGCATGTTCGAAGCTGGGAGAGTAGGCTAGTGACAGGAGAGTGGCTCAGCCAGGATTTGGCAGAGAATGGAGAGCCGCTGCAGGTTCTCAAATAGGAGCGGAACATATGATCCAAGGAGAGTTTTAAAAAGATGAATGTGAAATTGAGTTCAATATGGAGTGAAAGTGGAACATATCAGAGACTGGGATGTAGTAAGACCCTAAACTGATATTAGTTACAAAACTCAAAGAAAAGTAATAATACCTTAAAGATTGTGGGAAGAGAAAGATTATGAGAGACAGGGTTCCTGATTGGATATGAAAAACAAGGGGTGGGGGGTAGAAGTGGTTCAGAAGATAACGGCACAGAATGACTAGAGCCCTCAGAAGAGAATCTGATTGGGATAGAAGTTTGATGGTATTGGGTATACAATATTAGGCAATCAGAAACAGGACTCTGAGAAAATCAAATATGGCCAAGGGTACAAATCCTGTGCAATACTGATTAAGTTTTTTTTCTGTAAGAGGAGAAGTAGCCACTCTCATATGCCACTATGGGACATGCACTGGGGCATCATTTTTTTGGATTGGAATTTGGAAATGCTTATCAACCTCTAGGATATGCATATCCTTTGAAGCATTCTCTGCAGAATTTATGTTATAGAGATATTCCACAATTGAGCAAGAATAAATTCAAGAAATTGTTTGGCTTATAATGGCAAAAATAAAAAAGGGTATCAACCTAATTGCTCATCATTGAATGGTACATTAATATAATTAAAGAGATGTACCATTTCATCATAATAACCCGGGATGTTTAAAAAAAAATGAATGTGGGAACTTCATCTCTTGGAATTCTAATTCTAATTAATTTTAATCCTAGTTACAAAGTTGGACCCAAACATATGAGTATTTTAATTGTTCCATAGGTGATGCTAATGAGCAGGCAGCATTCAGAACCATTGGCTCAGATTAATCTTGAAACTTTACTTGGAGACCTAAAAAACACCTGACTTCTGGAAATCAAAGCCTGCCTGTTTCTAGTATCACTGGTTTCTAAGATGATGGTAGACCAGCTTCATTCACAAAATTAGAGGCTACAGTAGAAACCTAATAAGCCCATAGCTGAGTTATCACCCCAGAATTCAGGTTAATGACTTTGGACCAGAAAACTTGTGTTGAAATTAATTTGATTACAGTTGGATGTGGGACAGTTTTTCAGAGGAGAAGAGCAGATTAATTGCCTGTGGGGATCTATATTACCTTTTAGAGTCTGTTCTCTATTACTCATGTGTCTCAAAGACTTTAAAAACAAGCAAATATTTTAGGAGCTTAATGCATGGGGTACCTGAGGCCCGAGAAGATTTTGGCTTTTATTCTTCAGTATGGTCCAGCTGCCAGGACTCCTGGCTTCCAAATTCCAATGATTTTCTTAGATTGTAAAGGACATCAGATTCCTTGCCCTGGCTCAGTCAGTAGTCAGGGAGATGTGGCTTGCTTAAATCATGTGCTCTCAGGGTCTTGCTCTCCTCAGATGAGGTATAGAGAACTAGCTGGTCTATCCAGGCCCCTCTTCAGCTTTACCAAGTGACACTAGGTGGCACTCATGTAGCTCCAATGGAGAATGGCTGGCCTAATTTGGCTGCCAGGCTCCTCCTGTCCCTTGAAAGATCCAAGGACATGCTAGGTGCAACTTGGAAAATAATGCAGTTTTAGGAGACTCTTGCGCCTTCTTTTATCAAGAAGAGCTTTTGTACCTGTGGATACCTGTTCTATTTTACCAGCTACTTTCATTAATTATGTTCTTCTGATTCCATATTTCTCTCCTTTTTATCATCTCAAATTTCAAAATACTCAATAAAAAAAGTTATTATCATGGTTTAGCAACATGTGTAACATTTTCCAGATATACATTCTTGTGTGACATAAAAGCATGTGGTATCACATTAGCAAGTTCTAAGCTCTCCATCATGTGCCATTCCATGAGTAATTTCTAGGACACAGTTAAGTCCCAACACTGAACTTTATTGTTATTTTTAGATTGAAATAATTGTTTTTATTGTGATTTTATGACTAGAAGTTACATGGGAAAAATAAAACATATACCAATAAAAAAGAAATTTTCTTAAATTACTAGAATAGGAGGGTGATGACAAAACTCTCCAGCACAGGTAGAATAAAATTTTGAACTTTGGAATAGAAGAGGACACTGTCCACAGTTCCGCGAAATATGGATTTGTTACCTGAATTTCTTTTATAATGAAACTGAAAAGAAACAAGAGGCAGATAATTGGAAAGCCCTCCCTTCCCCCCTTACTCAAAGAAAAAATATTTTAGAGCATTTTTTCATGTTGCTATTATAGATTATTAAGGAATCTTTTATTATAAAAAGGAATATTGTAGAAATTGGGAGCAACTGTGAAGAGGTAAAATTTACCACTTAGCAACATTCAGAAATAGCTTCTGGATTCAACACTAAACTTCAAGTGACCACTGAACAGGGTCAGCCAGACATGATTCTTGTTCAAAGCCTAGCTCCCCTCACCTTATTTGTCCTGATGTTTTCTGAAGGTTCATTCTGGTCTAGGTTCATTTCAAGAATTCAGTTTGGCTCAACCTAGTTTCAGAACTGACCTCAGAGATGGAGGAGTTGAGAGTCTCCATGATCAGGATATTATTCCAAAAGTGGTATTTTTTTCATTAACAAAATTTATTCAAGTTACTTTTCAGATGTCTTTCCTTCAGTCAAGGATCACAATAGTAGTGTACATAAATTTAGCAACAAATATACACTTGGAAGAACTGAATTTGAACTCTAACTCTGAGATCTTAGAAGAAATTGTAAAATTTCATATTGTTGATTTTGGGGAGAAAAGGTGGATTTCATTGGCTTCATCACCTGTCAATATTAAGAGGGCATTGGAATTGCATGGGCTTTCTGGATTGAAGTATAGTCATAACACCCAGACCTAGAGATAGGGTAAGGTGTGGTACTATGCTTAGGGTAAGGGAATGAATGTACACATTTGTAGAAAACTAGAAAGCTCTAAAGGCAGAATACTAATAAACAGCAGCGGAATTATAGACAAACTTTATTGCCATTTGTATATTTTTCTATAATTCTCAAGTTTCACATAATGATCATGAATTTGTTGTGTTTTATTATTTCAAAATTCAAAAGAAAAAATGAAGGAAAGAAGTAAGAAAATCATCAGGTTTCAACAAAGAAATCACTATTTGTAGATTACCTTGGTCATGATAAAAAATAGCTTTGTGACTTCAAAAGAAGACTGTACAACTCCTCTTGGATGTGACGATTACTCTGGTCTGATCAATGGCAAAGCAACATCCAAAAGACTTTTACTAACATTATTAAGGTTGTCCTAAAACAAATAAAAGGAACCCTGAAAATGAGTTATACATTTAATTTATTAAATAAAGATTTACTTATTTATGCATACAGGCCAGAGGTGTGGTGGGTGAGAGGATTTACCAGAGACAGAGTGGGGAACAGAGCAGGCAGATTGACTGAAATACACTGATGAGGGGAGTGGTGGGTGAGTCAAGAGAGGTCTGCTGCGCCATGTGGGTCACCTCCCTGGCCGGGAGGCACAAGGTGAACTTGTGCCGCAGTGGCTGCAGATAGCTTCATAGTGCTGAGGTTTAACCCCTTGAGCCACCGGGGAGGACACTTCCTTCTTAAATTTGAGCAATGAGCCTTACTGAAGAAATTCATGTAAATATACTAACTGGTAAGCTACACTTCTATGACAACCAATTTTATCAAGACATTTATGGTTACAATCATTTTAGTCAGTTCTTATTCTTTCTGTATTCCACCTATGTTGCTTCTAACTTGTAGGAGATAATTGACCTTTGTTGTATACTGTCTTGTACTTGTTTCTACTTTTCGCCCTCTAGTTTTTATATAGTAATCCCCAAGGACTGGGCTGTGGCTTCTACTACTCTGACTCCTGTTCAATACCCAGAACAGTGCCATGAACTTTTTTAGCACTGAGAAAATTGTAGAATGAGTAAATAATTGAATGGAAAATAACTAAATTTGTTATATGTCTATTACAAGCTAGGGAGAGCAATACATATTTTATGTTTTCATATCACTCTCATTTTGCAGATTTTAATATTCCCTTTTTATAGATGTATTTGCTGCTTATTTCTTGCCACTAAATGTAAGTTCCTTAAGGGCCAATATTGTGTCTGATTCATTTATGTAGCTTTCGAGCTTCACTTCTCAGGTAATACTTGATACAGATTATGCTCAACAAAAGTTAGATGAGGGGGCCTCCCTGGTGGCGCAAGGGGTTAAGTCTCAGCACTATGAAGCTATCTGCAGCCACTGCAGCATGAGTTCTATACCCGGCCAGGGAGCTGCCCACATGGCGCAGCAGACCTCTCCTGACTTGCCCACTGCTCCCCTTAGCGGTGTATTTCAGTTAGTCTGCCTGTTCTGTTCCCCACTCTGTCTCTGGTGAATCCTCTCACCCTCTGCACTTCTGGCCTATACCCCAGTTCTTGTATGCACAAATAAATAGAATTTTTAAAAAATAAAACCAAAAGTTAGATGAGGGATTAAATTAGTGACAGTCAACAAACGAGGGTCAGTGATAAGCTTCAAAACTATGTATTCAGCTCCAAAAGCTGTACGCTGTGTGCTCTGCGATATGGCTCTGTTTGTATCATGTTGTTAACTGCTCAAGGTCACATAATAATTTAATGATGAAATATGAATTAGAAGAAAATGACCCCATGCCATACTTCAATCAAAACAATGACAGAAATTATAGCTGTTAGTTGTTTTATTTACTTCTAAAGAATGTAACTAATATCATAGGAAGACTAATTAGCTAGTTTATGAATTCTCTATTTCTTTTTCAAACAACTGATTGTATTTATTTCTTTACCTGAGGTCATCCATGACTCTTTTTTTTTTGTTTTGTTTTGTTTATACATGCACTGGGTACAGTCAGAAGCGCGGGAGAGTGAGAGAATTCACCAGAGCCAGAGCAGGGAGCAGAGCAGGCAGAAGGACCAAAGTACACTGCTGAGGGGAGCAGCGGGCGGCAGGAGAGGTCTGCGCGCCATGTGGGACCCTCCTCTGGTGGCTGGGGAGCAGCCGGGGATCGAACCGGTGCCGCAGAGGCCACGGGCAGCTTCGCAACCCAGCGCTCAACCACTGCGCCACCGGGGAGGCCCCATCCATGACTCTTAATAAATAGTACCATGTTTGAGTATCATTGTAGAGCCATTTGAATTACGTAAGTCATTACTTCTTACCTTGAAAAAAAAAAGGTTAGCCATATTTGCATTTGCTAACACCAGTGACAAAATTATAAAACATGAATTAAACAAAATACCATTTAGCAGAAAATCATAATAATTAAGCTATTAATTAATTTTAATTAATTAATTTTCCTTTCTGCTTGAATTCGGCTTTTTGTCAACTGAAACCATTTGAAAGTATAAATGATGTAACTAGCACCAGAAAGATGCTTCTAGACAGCTCATGGGTCCCAACAGTATGCAAATCATTGAACCATATGTTAAAAATTGAACAGAAGAGCTGAGATTCTAAAATTTCCATTCCCACCACTGTTTATAATGGAACCAAACAACTGTGAATGCATTTAAATTAATGAAGCCTTCATTCATAAAGCATTTTATGAATCTTTTAGTGTAAATGCCCACTTTTAAATCTTGTGATTGCAAGAAGAAAATGTTTTCCTAAACAATTTGGACTGTTTCATAATAATTCTAATGGCTTTCCTATTTATGTACCTTTCAAAAAGTAACCACAGTATTGCCAAGGAGAAGTAAACAAATGTCTTTTTGAAATAGATGGGTATTAACCAAGTGGAAGCATATATTGAAAGTTTCTGCTAAAGCAATGAAACTGAAATAGCCTGTAAAATGAGGGACTTGAATTAAATGATCTTTAAGGTTGTTTTCAGTCATGGGGAAAACCTCTATGACTCTAACCCTGAAAAAGTATAGCCAATGCTAAAACCTGAATACAATTTACAACTCTATTATCCATAAATTCTTGTCCAGTAATATAAGTCAGGTCTGGAGAGAAATAAGTAATGCTAGGTGAATTCATCCATTTGTTTTCATTAACTCATGACTCCATCTACATATTTAATAAAATGGTCATAATCTAAAAGAGCATCTAGTTAGAGGCATTTTCAGAAATGTTTTACTTTTTTTTTTTTTTTTTTTTTGCAAAGGTGGTAACAAAATTTCAAAACCCAGGTTTATATTCCAGTTACAATTTTGTGCCATATTTATATGAAAAAAAGTGCTGCTACTACAGCATCTCTTCTGATCATAATAGTTCTTACATTCATATCATTGTTACAGTTTCCCACACTTCCTCATCAGCTCTTCTAAACTTTCTTATCACCCATTAAGTACCTATCTCCTTGTCTTCTCATACTCCAATGTTGATTCCCTCAGTGCCCCTAAGGAGAGAGAATGAGGCATTCTCAGTCAGAGATGAGCAAACTGAAGCCCAGGGAAATGCTGAAACTAGCTACTGGGTCATTATGCCTTAGACTCAATTAAGATTGTGTCTTTAAAGTTAATTTTTGAATGAAAAGGAATCTTTTGGGTAATGAAAATGGCTGAAACCATTAGGAAAATTGATAATTGCTGGATCCATTTTAAAACCATTCACTCACCCACAAGGATCCCCAAAAACTTCTAAACAGAATGTAATGTCTCTTCACGTGTACCCTTCTTGCTATAATGTAGACAGATCACTCTAATGGGTTTGTATTTGCTACCCTAACTGTGTAACATGTATGGAGAAATGTAGTACCTGGCATATAGTAGGAGCCAAACAAATATTTATGGAATTAATGAATAGATTTACAATTTTTAATAGGGCCTTATGTTTTATAAGCTATTCCTTTGGCACAGTTTTTTTGGAAAGCAATAATCAACAAATATCAAGAACCATAGGAATGTCTGTGTGATACTCTGATCTGAGAGTTCCACTCCGAAGAATTTTTCATAAAGAATAAATCCTATAGGGCCTCCCCGGTGGCGCAGTGGTTGAGTGCTGGGTTGCGAAGCTGCCCGCAGCCTCTGCAGTGCCAGTTCGATCCCCGGCTGCTCCCCGGCCACCAGAGGAGGGTCCCACATGGCGCGCAGACCTCTCCTGCCGCCCGCTGCTCCCCTCAGCAGTGTACTTTGGTCCTCCTGCCTGCTCTGCTCCCTGCTCTGGCTCTGGTGAATTCTCTCACTCTCCCGCGCTTCTGACTGTACCCAGTACTTGTATACATAAATAAAAAAATAAATAAAAATAAAATAAATCTAAAAAAAAAAAAAGAACAAATCCTATAGGAGTAACCTTGAAAATGATCTCAAGGTTATCAATCAGAGTCAAAATACTGAAACAATCTCTAAGTCTAAGTATCTGTGAATGATACTATTTCTGACAGAACAGAGATTTTCTTCCCTTCCACTTCCTTTACCCATTCTAAACACTGGGGAAGGCACTTGACCCAGAAAGACCAAACGGATTGCCTCATCTCAATGCTCACAGTGATTGTTTTAGGATGAACCAATGAAAGTCCTTTCCTAGTACTATTCCTTTAGGTTTAGTTAGGAAGATTTCCTCTTGGTTCTATGGTCAAGGGCTGGAAAAACATAACCCTAGTATTTTCTGCCACATGGAGAAAGCCTAACTGCAATGAGACTACATAAGGCCAATACAAAAGAAGAGACAAGATATAAAGAGAAACACAGACTCATCTGGTACATTCCTGAAAACATTGTTTGAGTCCTGCATCCAGTCTCATCAAACATCCTTTCCACACATGCTCATACCAGTTACACTAGCCATTAAGTCTCAGTTTTTCTTAAACTAGTTTAAGTTGGGTTTCTGTTGATTACTACATCCAAAGAAAGGAATGCTATATAGCCTTGAAACAGCAATTATTTGGAATCATGGGAATAAGTGGTCGAAACAAAAACAAAACAGTAGGTGTGTATGTATGAGTATTCAAGAAAAAAGGTAGAAGTGCTAATTGTGTTTACTTCTGAGTGGGAGTGGAGAGGTTTAGAAATTTTGCTTTATATACTTCCATTAATTGAAAGTATTTCAGAGAGCATATTTAATATTGCTATTGTCATTTAAAAAGAAGTGATACCCAAAAAGTGCATACCTTAGGATTACCATGATATAAATATATTTAGTCACCTAGAAAATGACATGGAAATGGTTTTATACGTGAGATTTTAGTTTATAAATTTTTTTTAAAAATATAAAATATTTTTATATAATCACTTTTTTTTTTAAAGATTTATTTACTTATACAAGAACTGGTGTACAGGCCAGATGCACGGGAGGGTGAGAGGA